ACAGGGTCTCACTATGTAGTTGAGGCTGACCTGGAACTCACTATGTAGCCCAGGCTGGTCTTGAACTCACTGCGATCCTCCTGCCTCAGCCTCCCAAGTGCTGAGATTACAGGCTTGCACCACCATGTCCAGCAAATCTTTTTTTAGTAATATAATCAATTTTATTTTTCATGTGTCTCTAGCCATAGATTTTTTTTTTACAACAGGATAAAATCTTAGTGGCCTCAAGTTTGTCAAAGATTTTTTCAATGGAACACAAAAAAACAAGCTATTAAAGAAGCAATATTAATGCATTTTCTTTTATTAAATTTCAAAGTTTTGTTCCTCAAAAGAAATAAAGAGGAAAAATGACAAATTAGGTAAAATAATACTTGCAAGCCACATATTTGACAAAAGACTTCCATTTATATCACATAAAGAACTCTTACAATTCAGTACTAACAAAACAACTTGGTTAAAATAATAGCCAAGAGATTTGGTAGACACTTTATCAAAGAAGATACATGGGCACAGTGTGTAAACCCAAGAGAACAGGCTCACCATTTCTCACTGTGGAAACCGAAAGCAAAATGAAAGTGAAACCCAACCACTGGAATGGCTAAAACTAAAGGCACAAGTTGATACTTGGGGACTGGGAAGGGTCCTGGTGGTGAGACTAAAGAAAGGCAGTTGGACAAGATCAATGCACGTATAGAAATATCACCTCAAATCCCATTATTTTGTATAATTAATGTATTGATAAAAATAATAATGATAAAAAGATTGGCCTTACCAAGGAAGTGGAACACATCCAAGTCACAAATACTTTTGGTGAGAGTACAAAGCTGTATGAATTTTAAGATTGTTTTCTCCAGACCTGTGAAGAGTGCACTGGTATGTAGATTGGATTTCCATGATCTTAGATCATTCTGGAAGTCAGGCTATTTCTCTGTAATGATCCTGGAATAGGGAACATCTTTCCATATGCTAAGGTCCTCTTTGCTTTCCTTTTTCAGCATACTGTATTCTTCATTGTAGAGAATTTTTACTTTCTCGGGTTAATTCCTAAATATTTTTTTTTTGGTGCTATTGTGAAAGGTATTTTTCCCTAATTTTTTCTTAGTGGGATTATTATTAGTAAAGAGAAAGGCTATTGATTTTTTATGTGCTAATTTTGTGTCTTGCTACATTGCTGAACTTGGTTATTAATCCCAAGGGTCATTTGGTAGATTTTTCTTGACTCTTCTATGTAGAACATGATGACATTTGCTATAATGATAATTTTATTTCTTCCCTTTCTGTACTGCAAATTAAAACAACACTGAGATTTCATGTTACCCCAGAGAGAGTGGCTATCATCAGGATGTCAAATAATAATGAATGTCGGAGAGGAGGCAGGGAAAAAGAACCATTCTACATTGTTGGTGGGAGTGTAAACTAGTACAACCATTCTGGAAATCAGTACAGTGAGTCTTTTCTGAAACTAACAGTTCCATTCAGGACAGCTGTTGCCTTTCTAGGTATTCTCTAGAAAGAGTTATAGACATCACATTACAGTGTCACATGCACACCCATGTTTATAGTAGCATAATTCAGAATAGCTAAGTCTTGGGAGTGTCTTATATGCCCATCAACAGATCAATGAATATGTGATATTTACACAGAGCACGGCTCTGCTGTAAAGAGAGATAAACTTGAGGCGTTAGTAGGTAAATAGAAGCATCTTGAGACCATACTATTAAGTGAAATAAATTAGACACACAAGCTTAAATATCACATGGTTTCTCTGATACGAAAAATCCAATATTAAATGAAGAACAAAATACAAGATAGATAATAAGAAGTAGAGAGATAGATCTTTCCAAAATGAGAAGAAGATCAAGAGATGCAGGGAAGGAAGGAAGGAAGGGAAAAGGGACAAAAGATGGAATTAAGATGTGTTATGTGCCAACTCCCCACAGAGACTGCAGTCACTGTGTACTGCAAACTTGTGCTAATAAGAGGAGAACCTGTACCCGGCACGACCACTTTTAACCAGTCTGGCAACTTGAAAGTTAAAGATGGAGTCTTCAAATGGCCAAGCCATTTTTGTTCAAATCCTTAGGTGTATCCACAAGATAAGTGAAGGGAAATGGCACGGAGAGGTCTGTACCCGGATCTTCATGGTGGCTGAACTCACAATGGGCCTAATGAGAAAGAACAATGCAGCACCCCTAGCTGTAGCAGAGCCACGGAGTGGGCTGCCATTCAGCAATCAGCAAGGTGCAAAGCAAGACACATACACCAACATGGGCAGAATTTAAAGCAGTCATCCTGAGTTGAAGGAGACCAAACTGACAATCTCTATTGTCTGTGAATCTTTTTATAACAAAATGCAGAAAGTAAAGTCCAATCTACAGCAACAGGCCAGGCCACTAGGGAGTGGATGGATTGCAGAATGGCCCAAAGAAGCTTCTGAGGACTGTGGTTAGATTCACTGATGTGACTGTGGTGATGTTTTCATCGCTATATATGTGTAGCAAAGCTCAAATTGTAGGCATTAAATTGCACAGGTCCAACATATCAATGGTAACTCAATAAAGTTACGAAAAGACAACAGATACAAACACCACCCTCTCCATTGCTTGCCTGTCCATACCTCTTCAGGAGGTTCTTCCTATGAGGTGGAAGATTGGGCCCAGCTCCTTCAAATTTCCACGCTACCAGTGGACCAAGCCAAGCAGAAGATGCTTCTGTCCCAGTAGCTACAGCGAGAGCGCCCACGATCTTGGGCTCCGGAAACATGTCCTGGGAGTCAGCTTCCATCAGCTTGGTCAAAGCTGTTTTAGGGGCACCACTCTGGCACTGGGTAATAGGGTCAGAAGATTGGGGGTCTGCAGAGGAAAATGAGGATATGGCTATAAAGATATTCAGGAATGTATTCAACCCACCTAAAATTGAGAAGTCTCTGCTAACATTTTCCATCCCAGGATTCTAGGTGGATTTGGTGACTTTCACTATGCTGCCTCCCTGGGGGACTGTGGAGGGCTGGCTTCTCCCCTCAGTGCAGCTTTGGTGAGGAACCACCCTGGACAGGAGTAAACCCATAGCTCAGTACCTTGGCTCCAGACTCTAGAACTCCAAAATGACTTTAACTCCTCCACATTCAAAGGTCCTTAAACAAGTGAGGCTGAGGATAAACATCCGGCAAATATGGTGTTTCCCTAGAGCCATAAGATAAACAAATTAGAACACTGACTATTAATCACGCGGAGGTGCAAATCAAAGAGTGAGCGTGCCAGTCACTGATGAGGGCATGAACAACTTGGAGCTGCATACGTTGTGTGTGGTGTACAATGGCACAACAACTTGGAGCCATCTGAATGGATCCATCTCTGTCCTAGCAAAGACATTAAGGCTAGGAAACTACTTAGCAGGAAAAAGCAACCAAATGGCACCCAGAACAGGGATGAAACTCAATGAGTCTCCAAAAAAAAACTATAATTAGGGAAAGAAGAAATATATGTACCAAAAGTAGGCACTTTGTGATTCTATTTCCATGGTTTTCAAGAACAGGTAAAACTAAGAAGTCAGGAAATAGCTGCCTTTTAGGGAAGGGATGTTGCCTGAAGTGGGCATTATCAGTCACTTTCTCATCACTGGGATAAAATACCAGATGCTACAATTTAAGAGGAGAGATTTACTTTTAACCCGTGGTTTCAGTCCACAGTCAGCTGGCTCCAAAGTAGCAATGGCATGGAAGAAGGGAAAAGCAGAGGAAAGCTGTTCAACCCACGGCAGCCAAGAAGCAGAGACAGAGACCCAGGGACAGAGTACACTTTTCCAGGTTATGCCTCCAGCGACCCACCTCCAAGCAGGCCCCACCTAATAACAGCGCAGTCAGCGACGGAACTCATGCTTGGTGGATACACTGATGAGAACAGCAGCCCAGGTTCCTATCACCCTCCACACATCTAAGACGTCCACTTCCGGGACATTTTAGATCCAAAACATAGCAGGGCACGAGTGAACTTCAGAGCCCTGGAAATGCCGTCTGAGTGGTGTTTGGATGAGTGACGGCAAAACGTACACTTGTGATCTGTGTGTTATAGTGCATGCAGGTCACACTTCAAAGAAAACGCAGTGTATGTGTGAGTAGTAATAGCGAAGCAATTTTTATTACCGTGGTAGTTAACACTTGGTTAACTTCTTGCCTGAATTATCTTGACAAACCCTTACTTCAACCCTGAAAAGCACATATTTATGTTATCCTTGTTTCTGAGGCGAGAGAAGTGAGAATCAGAACGCAGCTGAGGTCGCACAGCTAATGAGATGCAAACTTGACTTTGGATTCTACGATCAATCCTAACCAAGGATGCTGGATTGAGGCCAAAAGTGCAACACCTGTGGGGCAGCTCCAGTGAGACTCCGCCAGGTGAGTACTGAGCACCCACAGCCCAAGCACCTGGTGAGCAGAAGGGCGGATGGAAAAGCAGCGATTCATTCTCACCACCATAGCCTCTTGTCTCTGGAGCTGCTGCGCAGTTGGATATGTTTGTTAGGTCAGAACATGGAGTCTGGAAGAAAGTTTGGGATTGTTTGGGATTTTTGGGGTCCTAGAGCATGCCTTAACAGCTCTTCATCAGGTCTGGGCAGTGCTATTGCTCATGGCAGCATTAAATCCACTGGAAAGTATCTGTAAGAACACAGGATGTGCCAGGACCAGCAGCCTTCACTCTGGAACCTGGAGAAAGGGAGTCACTGCAGCTCCTGCATGGGCCAGTTGGAATTGGACCCCCCGCTCCCCGAGCTGGCTCTTTGCCTACTCCTAGAAGCTCACAGAGCCGGCATCTGACAAGATTAAGATTTGATTTGACATCAAGATGGGGCACTGTTCAGGAACTCCATTGCTCCAAGCAACGGAGTAGCACTTATTGGTTTCAGAGGGGATGGAAAACAATTTGAGCAACTTCTGTTCTCTTCAGCCCAGACACACACCAGTGCTCTGTTGACTTAGGAGCAGCTGCTGACACCGAGCAGAGACAGGAGTGCTCTCTGAAATCCCTCTCTCATCTGTGTCCAGCACATCAAGGAAAACCTGCAAGCGCAGATCCGGCAAAACCCTTGGGGCACACCATCCTTCGCATTCAAGTCCTGGCTGCTTCTCTTGCGGGAGCAAAGAGAGCCTGGGAGATAGCACCAGCCCTTGAGCCTCAGGTAGATGAAAGGCAGTGTGTATATGAGGGATTTTTCTTTCAGGATATAGCTTAAGCTGTAGTGAAAGCTGAAAACTCTGGAGAAGCAAAGGCAGTGAAGAGGAACTCTAGAATGTTAACTGAGACTGAGTGCGAAGTAGGATGGGAAGCTTTACTGCAGGCAGGAAGAGGTACTGCTCTAACTTAACTTGTCTAAAGAGCCAAAGACACAAAATGCAAACAAAAACAAATAAAACGCACCTCGGTGCAGGCCAGAATTAATACCCAGGAAGTCTGAACCACTGAGATTTGGGGATAGCGGAAATTTCAGACTCAAGTGGAAATGAGTTTGGGTTGAAGACTCAGAGGTGCCAACAGGATGCCTAACCTTGAGGGTCAGCTCAGGGTGGGTGGGGTTTTAGCAGAAAATGGAACGGCGAGGGCAACCCTTCCAAGTCCCTGGACCGAGGCTTGGTTTCTGGGGTAATACATCTGGGCTGCTGTGAATCTGTCCGATCCTGCCTGTGTGCAGTCGCAGTCTGGAGGGATGGGCACGGACGTGTGCCCAGGCAGGGACTGAGAAGTGTGGCCACAGACAGGTGCGGGTCAAGCGAGCACCCTTGGCAGTGAGAGCAGGAGCTTTGACTGCTGGAGATGCGTGTGTGGGATTTATAAACATTCCAGGAAAAGGGGACAATAAAAACAATTATTTGATCCTGCAGAGAAACCGTAGCTGTCAGTGCAAGAAAAGTCTAGAGCATTGTTTCTAAAACTGAGAACCTATTACACTGAGAATACTTTAAAAATCAGTGTTTCCCTTTGTCCATGGAAGGTGCGTTTCAAGACCTTCAAGGGACACCCAAAAGCACGGTAGTCCTAAATGCCATATGCGTGATATTTTTTCCTCTCTCCCCTGTAATGTTGTACCAAACTGTCTGTGTACAAATATGGATCAAATTATCCGTCTTTCCACAATGTATACCCTTGTGTCTCCTCGGCACCCTTACTGTGAAGGTGCGTTTCAAGACCTTCAAGGGACACCCAAAAGCACGGTAGTCCTAAATGCCATATGCGCGATATTTTTTCCTCTCTCCCCTGCAATGTTGTACCAAACTGTCTGTGTACAAATATGGACCAAATTATCCGTCTTTCCATGATGTATACCCTTGTGTCTCCTCGGCACCCTTACTCTTGCCCTTTGCAATCATTATTAAGTAAAAGAAATAAAAAGTAAAATAAGTCTCTCGAACATAAGCAACGTGATACCACGGTGGGTGATCTGGTAAGTGAGGCGGCAGTCGCTAAAGGGTGAAGGGGACACAGCAGGGCACATCCAGGGCAAATACACCGGGCCAAGCCATGACTCACGCTCGGCGGAGTGGAGAGGAACAGGTACTTTTAGGATGCTCCTCAGAAGGCTGCACGGTTTAAGATGTATGAACCGTATATTTCTGGCATTTTCCAGTGAGTATTTTCAGTTCGGCAGTTGACGAGAGGTAGCCGTATGGGTCAGTGTCCCATTGCTCGGACAGAATGCACATGCACATCTGAAAGGGGAAGAGTCTACTGTGGTTTGTGCTTCAGAGGCTTCCAGCGATGGCTGCGGGCTCAGGGGCAGAGCATCACCGGAGGACAGCAAGGAAGCGGAAAACGCTGAACTGAGGGTGTAAAGAGCAAAGGGCCAACTGCAGTCCTCAGGCCTGGACCACCCCGACACACCCTGAAGTGTGCTTTCTAAGCTCTTAGGTGGCTCTCAAGCCACTTCACGTGACAATTAAGACTAACGTCGCAGTAAGTAACACTGTGGACAGCGATACCACAGATAGGCTTGGGAGAAGACATTAAAATCTTAGTATTTGTAAAGCCTTTCAACTACTTTTTGAAAATAGCTGTTAAAAATCAATTAATTTGTTTGCTTGTTGTTGCTGCTTAGCAGACATGCTCACTTCTTTAGTGACAGACCTCAATCTCCATTCGGGAAATTCCCACTCTCCCTCTGTGAGTAGGCCTAGCTAGGTTGCCACTTGTGGTTGTGCAGGTTGGGCACTGCACAAGAGTTCCTGGTGAAGGTTTATTGGAGGCCTGAAGTTGAGCCAGAGGCTGCTCATCAGCTTCTCACACTGTTAGAGGGCTGTGCCTGTGCCACAGAAGATATAGTTTTCTCTGACTTGCACCAATGCGCCAGCTACCCCGGTCAGGGTATCAGGCAAGACACCCTTGCTCTCCTTCAGCCAAGGATGGGACACAAGACGCATCATAAGCCAAGTAGAAGCTGAGCTGTTTGGACTTTGCACGTCGGCTTTGCAGGAGTTGCTTCGCCCCACTGAGCTCAGGCCACCCAGCCAGGGCCCGGTACAAAGACCTCCAGGGCGGAGAAAACTGGTACAGTATAGAAAAGTGGACGGCCTTGTTGCAGAAGAAGGGAGGCTGGTTCTGTAACGTAGGGGGTGCCAGCCCCTGGGCCGGAGAGTCGCACAGGCACACGGTGCTCGGGTGGAAGCATTTCCAAGTGGGCAGCAGCGGGAGCAAAGGAGGCAACGAATGTGAAAAATCACTGTGAAAATAACAGTACGATGAGTGAAACTCTCTTTTGTTTGTGAAACTAATGAAATCAGGACGCTGTTCCAGAATGTTGGGAAACAGCAGTTCAGTGGATGAAGTTCTGGGCCCTGGAATTAGCCCGTCCCTTCACATTCCCCACCTCCCAGCTGTGTGCCCAATGGCTACTTCCAGCTGCTCCCCCCTCTGTGCCTCCACGCCCACAGGTCCAGTGGAACTGGCTAGAGAAATGACCCCAGCTGGTCGTCTGATGTGTTAGCAGATGCCAGGCACTTACAAAAGAGCCTGGGACATAAGTACCAGTGAATGTTAACTATAAAATGCAGCGAAAATTTGACCTTCATTCCCAGAGAAACAGGACGTTCTTAGAAGGCTTTAAGAAAGGAAGAAACGTGGGCTGGTCCAAAGTTGTAATGATGGTTTTAGCCATTATGCTGAGAATAGATGAATTGGTTAAGTAGAAAAGGAAAGGCATAGATGAGTAGCAGCTGTGGCAGCTTAGAGCTGGGTAACAGGGGTCCTGGGCTCAGCTCCAGTTCCTCGAAACCACTTTCTGCTGCTCTAAACAAACAGAACGTGAGGCTAAAGCTGGTGGGAGAGCAAGCAGAAAAGGTATTCGGTGGCTACGTCTTCTGGGGTCAGAACTGCCAGCCATTCTGAGGAGGTCAGTCTCTTTTAGGAGGGCAAAGAAGAATCTTTGGATGGTTTTGAGTAGAATGATACGGTCAGACGTGCATTTTCCAAAGCTCCCAAGGGGCCTCTATAGAAGATGAATGGGAAGGAGATATTTAGAGAACCGGGGCCCAAAAACAAGGGTCACTGGATAGGGGGCTGGCAGGAGAATATTCTGATTATGGCATTAAGTTCTTGGGAATAAGAGCTAAGATAAAGACTACTTCTTGGTTCTCTCCGTGGTAGGTGGTGCCTCTAAAACAGACTTCAGGTTCTGGGATTGCAGAGGACTAAATTCACTACGACCTAGAGAAGTGCCATTACAGATCCAGTGGTCTTAAGCCAGTGCTGAAAAAATTATACGAGGCAAAAATAGTAAAACTTCATCAAAACCACTGGAAATAATTTCTAACTCCCACCTCTAAGCTGGAGATTATGTCCTACAGCAGCAGGGGGGCCCAAAATGACACAAACAGGCTTTGTTCAACGCTTGTACTACTTAAAAATGTGAATTAGTTGCTATGGAGATTTCACATTAACATTGAATTTTCTATAGCCTCCCCCAAAATCTGGGCAACCAGGTCAGGGCTCCATCCTCTTGGCGAAAATGAACCAAAGACAGAAAGTAATGGGACAGGATCCCCAGGCACTGCAAGTGTCCCATCTGCAAATTTTCCTGTCTCCCCAGTTTCGGAAGGCTTCCGGTCTACATCACCTGCAAAGGTAAACTCTGTCCACCTTCTGTGCTGAAGAAAGCACCGAGGCTGTGGTGAAGTGCTGTGCTCACCTGGATCCGGGTGTGAGGTCCGGAGGTGAGTTACCTATGCACCCCAATCGACACCCCCACTTTGTCCTGGGCACAGTCCTGCTGTTCTCCCTGGGGTCTCCGCCCACCTCTCACTTCCTCCCCTGCTCTGTGCATCACTTCTTCCCGGCTTCTAGGCCCTCAGCATAATTGGGTCTGAGCAGGCATTCCCTCTATAAATATTAATTTGGATATGCTTGGAGGACTCTGCTTCTTTTAGATGAATTGTTAACTAGCTTTCTAATTTGGAGCTTCTTGACAAGCAAAGCAAGATCTCTCTGCTGGCTGCTTCCTTCATTATGGGGGTGGGGGAAGGTGGAATTCATTGGAATCTGCAAGAGTTTATTTTGGGAGATGGGTTTTGCATGCCTGGCTCCCTGAACCTACAGGGACCCCAGACCCTTCTGAATGATCTCCATAGAACCAGCATGGGCGGAAGAAAGCCAGTACCCATTAGGAATGGCAACTGAGAGATCATAACTGGGATCTGGGCTCTGGCTCTGAGGAAAAGAGCGACCTTAGGCAGCTTCTTAACCTCTGTGAGCATCGATACTCTGCTCTGTAAAGGTGATAGTATAAGCAGTAGCAGGAATTAAATCAGGTACTGCATAGCTAGTTCTCAGAAAAGGACTATAATTAATGAGAAAAGAGGATTTCAGAGCAGCTTCAAGAAGTTGGTGCCTTCAGATTGCGCAAACTTCACTGACCAGACTGGGCTGGAATTTACAATCCTCCTGCCTCAGTGTCCTAGGTTATGGGATTATAGGTGTATGGCACCACACCCAGCCAGTGAACTTGCTTTGTATGCTGCCAAATACAAATGGACAGGTCAAGTTCCTTTTGCAGCAATAAGTTCAGCACATCCAGCTTTCTCAGAATGTACTCTCAGCAGGAGCAGCCCCTCCAAGCAACAACTAGTCAACCTTCATTGTTCAGTCCTTCAGCCCATGCTTTGCCCCAACTGCCAGTCAACTTCACTGCATGTGGATGCACTGTCAAGGAAGGGTGTTTTGACCACCAAATTCACTTTATAAGAGATCCATACCCTCATGTCTCCCAGAAAGCTAGACAACTGGAGCTCCCAGCCACAGGGCTCTGGCTGTGCTGAGACTGTGCCCCCAGACACCTCAGGGAGAAACTGGAGAGACGCCTGGCCTAGCCCAAAGGGTTGTCATCACTTCCATCTGGCCTCTGCTCCAGGAGCAGTTTCCATAATGTGCCCATAAATGTTTCCATGGAGGACTCTGCCCCTTCCTTGACCCAAGCCCAGAGAGGCATCAGGAAGGCATCTCACAAGGTAGAATGTCACTTTCCCCCTTACACCTGAAACCTGAACAAAAAAATGTACCATAGCCATACATACCCTGGCCTACTCCTTTTTTCAGTATTTGGGACTGAGCTACATTCCTATCTGTCTGTCTATCTATCTACTATCCATATCATCTGGTTGACAGGGTCTCCATTATAAATTGAAAATACCTCAAGTTGAAAATGCAGTTAGTACACCTGAACAAAAAAATGTACCATAGCCATACATACCCTGGCCTACTCCTTTTTTCAGTATTTGGGACTGAGCTACATTCCTATCTGTCTGTCTATCTATCTACTATCCATATCATCTGGTTGTTTATTGACAGGGTCTTGCTAAGTCACTAAATCACCCACAATGGGCTCAGATTTGTAGTCCTTCTGCCTCAGCCTCCAAGAGTACTGGAATTATAGTTATACACTACCTTGTCTGATTTCTATGTTTATCTTACAGGTGCTCAGAGCATTTAAATTAGCCTATAGGCAAAATTATTTAGTGGAAAAACTGACTTTATAATACAGCATCAAACATCTCATGTAGTTAACTCAGATCTGCATTGAAAGTAAAAAACAGAATAGTTGTATGAACACACTTTGATACCACTGTAAAGCTGAAAATTTGTAAGTGGAAACATAGTAAATCAGGATCATCTGCATTTCTAAGAAGGTTTGGCTCAAAAGTGAAATGGTAACCACCTTCACTCATCTTACAAGCTTTTGATATTCAAACAGACAAGACTTGGGGTTAGTTGTTCTCTGCTTTCATGGTGCTCAGCATATAGGAGGGGAGGAATAGATGGGTGGTGGATCGATGGATGACAGACAGACTGATGAATGGATAGAAGGTTGGATGGATGGATGGATACCACCAAATTCACTTTATAAGAGATCCATACCCTCATGTCTCCCAGAAAGCTAGACAACTGGAGCTCCCAGCCACAGGGCTCTGGCTGTGCTGAGACTGTGCCCCCAGACACCTCAGGGAGAAACTGGAGAGACGCCTGGCCTGGCCCAAAGGGTTGTCATCTCTTCCATCTGGCCTCTGCTCCAGGAGCAGTTTCCATAATGTGCCCATAAATGTTTCCATGGAGGACTCTGCCCCTTCCTTGACCCAAGCCCAGAGAGGCATCAGGAAGGCATCTCACAAGGTAGAATGTCACTTTCCCCCAGGTGTAGGATTAGTCACTGTCCTTAAGGCAACCAGGGAATCCAGCAAGAATGCCTGCTGGGCTATTCCAGTGCCCTGCACTGGGCTGCTCCGGTAGTCTCTTCCTGCCTGTCACGGTTAGACCTGCTCCTTCTACAGGGCCACAGGGCAACCTGGACTGGCTGTGCCCAAAGTCTCCAAAGTACTTCTCAGAGTAAGGGGTACAGTAAAATGCCTGCTGATGCTCTTTGACTTACCATGGGGCTACATCAAAGTAACCCATTATAAATTGAAAATACCTCAAGTTGAAAATGCAGTTAGTACACCTGAACAAAAAAATGTATCATAGCCATACATACCCTGGCCTACTCCTTTTATCAGTATTTGGGACTGAGCTACATTCCTATCTATCTGTCTATCTATCTACTATCCATATCATCTAGTTGTTTATTGACAGGGTCTTGCTAAGTCACTAAATCACCCACAATGGGCTCAGATTTGTAATCCTTCTGCCTCAGCCTCCAAGAGTACTGGAATTATAGTTAATTATAATTATACACTACCTTGTCTGATTCCTATGTTTATCTTACAGGTGCTCAGAGCATTTAAATTAGCCTATAGGCAAAATTATTTAGTGGAAAAACTGACTTTATAATACAGCATCAAACATCTCATGTAGTTAACTCAGATCTGCATTGAAAGTAAAAAACAGAATAGTTGTATGAACACACTTTGATACCACTGTAAAGCTGAAAATTTGTAAGTGGAAACATAGTAAATCAGGATCATCTGCATTTCTAAGAAGGTTTGGCTCAAAAGTGAAATGGTAACCACCTTCACTCATCTTACAAGCTTTTGATATTCAAACAGACAAGACTTGGGGTTAGTTGTTCTCTGCTTTCATGGTGCTCAGCATATAGGAGGGGAGGAATAGATGGGTGGTGGATCGATGGATGACAGACGGACTGATGAATGGATAGAGGTTGGATGGATGGATGGATGGGTGGATGGATGGATAGATGAAAAAATTCTCTATGACTGTTACTGCTAGCACCCCATAGCTGCATCTCTTCATATCCACAGATAGTTGCATCCTAGTTCCTGAACTCTTTTCCCAAAGACAGAGAGATTAAACAGCCCAGTCATTCCTTTGCACTGCCACCAGGCAACTGCATCTCATCTGTCTTCACCCAGTGGCTGACTCCAGACAGGCTCCTCAGAGCTCACTGGGCCTTCGAGTCCTCGCTCCCACTTGCTAAAGCTAATAAATCCCTGAGCCCCTGTACTAGGTTCTGAGCACAGCTGTGTTAGATAATTCCAGTTGTTATAACAACCCCTGTATCCCACAGATTTAGTCCGGTGGCATATTTCTTATTCTTGGCATGGTCCAGTGAACCAAGTTTTACTTGCAATGATTTGCAATCCACCTCCTGGCATCCTGAGGCTCAGCCTTCCATATACAAGTCCCATACTCATCCAAGCTTGATCCTTACCCCACTCCATCAGCACATCCAGTTAGATCTTTGGGTCTACCTCTAAAATATGCTTACCATGTTACATCTTTTCCCTTTATCATTTAGGTATAATTAACACAAAAAATTAGACAAATCTTATGTATTAAGTTCTATTCATTTTTACATGTAAATGCAACGATGTCACCACTCACAATAAGATACCCATTTCCAGCATCTTTGAATGGTCCTTTATGTCCCATCCTTGTAAGTATCCTTCTAAAAGTAACCACTATTGTGATCTCTGTTTTTGAATTGCACATTAATGTACTGGGTATGTATTCTTTTGCAAGGGCTGCTTTTGCTCAGCATTATCTGAGACCCACACATGCTGTCAGGTTATTCTGCAGCTTGTTTGCTTGCCCATTTTCCTGTTGATTGGCTTTTCATTTTCTTGCTTTGCTCTGATGTATTCTTCTTCATTGTTTTCCTCATAGGACATGAGTACTCATTTCTGTGGGGAAGAGGGTCTTGCCGGCTCTCGGGCTATGTGCAAGTTTAACTTTAGAAAATACTGTCAAGAAATTTAAAAACTGTTTATATCAATTTGTAATCCAACCATGTATAAGAGGCTCACTCACTTTTCCTCTTCACCATCACTTGGTATGACTGCTCTTTTCAACTTGAGCTCTCTGGGTGAGTGCAGAGAAAACCACAGCCTAGTGCTTGAGTTCCAGGCACCATCACTGGTTGCCCAGACAGCTGCAGTGGACTCAAAGCTGGCCTGCTCATTTTCTGCTCTTGTCACCCCCCTTCAATCCTGCTTCCATCCAGCATGCAGAGAATGCCACTTCTGTGCTGAAACCTCCCAGGGGCTCCTATCACTCTGTCCAATCTGTGTCTTGTCTCTATCTGCACCATCTAATTTGCAGACTTACCTGTGAGCTGTAAAACTCAGGAAAGTGTGAACATGTGGGCAACACACCTGCCTGTGCCCCGGCACACAGACCAGTGTGCTCACCTCGTCCATGCTCTGTCTTTGCCGAGTGGATCACTTCAGCCTGGGAGCTTGAGTTTGTGCGCCACAGAGCTGTTCTTTCAGCATTTTCTGTTGGTCTGTCTCTAAGCCACCACACCTCTCAGTGCTTCCCAAGTGAACTTGTGTAAGTGATTCTTAGGGACAAAAGGATCAGGCGCTCTCTTCTCTATCCAGGTTGGTCT